AACGACCTGGTCCCGCCCGGCTGCAACAGCAAATACACCCTCCAACCTAGAGCTTTCGTCACCTCCCCGCGGGTCTCAAGTAAATATACATATAAATGTAAATAAAAATATGGTCCCCCCCAAAGATCTATGTTTTTACCCTCTTTTTAGCTGCTATTTCCATTTACGAACATCTCCACACGACCATTCTTCCACTCGCGATCGTCTCCTCACGACGGCACAAACCCCTCCTTCAACTCACATGTCTCGGATCATCTCCTCATCACCGCACAAACCAACCATATTGAAACCGAATGCGGCCCAATATTTCAATATGGTCTCGGGGAGGCCCATATTGAAACATCGGCCCATATTGAGTTTCAATATGGCAGATCCAAGATCCAAGATTGCACGGGACTCTTGGGGAGGAATCTTGGATCATGGATCTTGCATCTGCTATATTGAAACTAAATATGGTCTCACTATTTCAATATGGCCCTCACTGAATCCAAGATTCCTTCCAGGCGTCCCGTTCAATCTTAGATCTTGGATCCGCCATATTGAAATTCAATGTGTTTCAATATTTCAATGTGGTCCTCTGCCCTTCTTGGTCTTACTACTTCCACGGCTCTTGGGACAGTCTGCATGTGCATATCTGCTACATGTGCATAACAAGAGAGCTTGAAACATCTGCGTCATTCACGTTGCAACCCTTGGTGTCTCAAGCCCGCTAATCCGAATCCTTGCTGTCTTCTGTCATGATGCAGTGGAACAACATCACGGGCACCGGCGCTTTTCACAACGGCCAGGCCCTGCCCCGATATTGGCTCCAGCCTCCTCGTCCTCTGCTACGCCGGCGCCATCCGAGACAGCAGGGGCATATCGGACGCCATGGGGGGTGACCAGGAATGACGAGCCGATGATGGCGGCAATCGTCAGCGGCGACGTGCCGGTCCAAGCAACACACATGCCTATGTCATCGTCAGCGCTTCAAGTTATCCTCAACAACATACAAAAATCTTTGAAGCTCGTTGTGGGGCAGAGCGGCGGTTGGAGCGTCATTGCCAACGAGCAGTTCTTCAAGATTCTGGCAAAACCGAAGCGTGTTCGGAGAGAGACGCCCGCAATCATGGATGCACAGCCGGCTGCGGTTGTGAATCCGCTCGAGATCGATGTCGACACCGAGCCCAAGGAGAACAAGAACCACGAGACCGACAGCCCAAAGGAGGAGAATCAGAACCAGGAGACCAACAACCCCGGAGAGCACGCGAAAAGGGCTGATGACAGCGACGCAGACAGCTCATCGTCGTCCACCAGCAGCAACAATAGCATCAAGTCCGAGGACATGAAGAAGATATTGAAGGACACGGAGCCCGAGACCTACACATGGACGGCAGAATGGAGCGATGCTTGGAACAACATGCTTTGTACTTTGGCTGATGGTTATAGCAATCCAAAGCGTCGTCGTATCGCCTACAGAGTCTTGAAGACTTTGAAGGAGGCAAAGGCGGAGTGGGATCGAGCCTAAGTTGCTTGAGTACAGAGTGCGTGCTTCGGCAGAAAGTGTTTTCGCAGTTGCTTGCTTCTTATGCAGCATGCCTACCAGCTATCCAGGACTCTCATGTACTATGTCTGCCGCTTATTCAAGACCACACAACAAACAACAACCAGAATCACATCATGCTCTTTCGCTGTCTGCCAGCTGTCCAAAACAGAACACAACAGACAACAACCACAACCGCATCCTGTTCTTCCGCAATGTGCTTCTCTCGAGACACTTGCTGTTCTCGCCCTTAGCCTCAACTCTCTTTGTCGCATCATCTCGTGAACTCATGGCTAACCTGTTGGAATCCACCATGGAACTCGTGGGCGGGAGGGAGTGGTCATTCGAGGCTTTGGCGGTTCTGCAGATGGGACACGTTCCTTCGACGGAGATAGAGAACCCTATCACCATGGAGAACTTCTTGTCCAGCGCCTGCCGCAGATGTGATGGGATCCAAACCGCTACACTTATGTTTGACTTCCACCCTAAGGTCCCCGAGTTCGGGCGTTTCGCTCGCTTGGGTGAATTGATCCATCAAGGGAAGATACAAGACCTTCATGTGCCTCTATCCCTCAACGGCAACCTTCCCGCACATGCCAAGCTGGGCATTATCGTACACAACTTGGAGGACAGCACCGTGAATGTGCTCAAGATTCTTCACTTTGCCGACAAGTTTGCCGCAAGCAGTGGACTCGAACTCTGCACTGGCAATGCTTACATTCCTGTCTTCCGCCAGGGTCCCTGGGCTCTTCGGAAAGCCATTCAGCACCTGCTGGAGCGTCTACCAGGATATCGCCTGCTGTGGAACCACGTGGTGCAGAAGCAACAGTCCATTCAGAGGAACTCCTCGTCGCAATGGACTCCGGATGTTGAGGCGCTGAAGGCTGGGATAGACTACATCAACGCCCGCGCCTAGGAGGAGGATGCCCAAAACGAGCAGACATTTTAGATTCTTTGCGAGATTCGCGAGGACTCAAGCTCACCAATCGCTGGGTGGCCGGAGACGGAGGTACGCAATATGTGATTGTCCGGAGAGAAGCCTCAGACAGAATTTCCCTTGACGTTGTTCTCCCTGAAGGGCTTCGTCTACGACTTCTTGGTCAAGTTCATCCTCCCGCTCTTCATGACACACGGCTTGCGGAGTTGGAAAGACTCCGTTCGTCATCACGATGGCCCTCGCCTACGGCCGCTACCATGTCCGAGAGCAAGGGTTGACAGCCCCTGCGGGCTGGAGAAGAGAGAAAGCTCTGAACAATTTCAGGCAACGAGTGCCACGGGTCCAAGAAGCGATTTTCCTCGATGATCCCCAAAGGGATCGCGTGAGCGCCTCGGATCTCAAAGGCTTCATTACGGTCGATGAGGAACGCAGCTGCAGCGGCAGATACTCTGACGTCCGGCTGACACGCAACGGGGTGAGAGTCTATGCTTCGAACGACTTCGAGCCGAATGATGAACCGAAAGCGGAGGGGGGGGCGCCACTATTACGATGGTCGAGTTCATGAAGATGATGACAAAGATCTTCAAGGACGATGGTTCTCAAGCGCAGCATCGTCTTCGTCTTTGGGAAGCATGCCTTGTATCTACGAATGCCGTCAGAGAACCCGGAGGTGCCAATACACAGAATCACAGTCGAGGACGTTCATCTGGACCTACTTAGCGAGAAAGACAAGCCATACTACAACAAATACAAGCAAGGCAAGATTGAACGAAGCCCGGACTATGATGGCGAGGTTGCTAGGGAGCTCGAGCTCATGGATAATGCTGTGGCAGAACGCAACGGCTTTGCCAAGGTCGGCACTTTCATCAAGCACTGGAGTGAGAAGATTCAAGATGAGCTATTCCGCCGACAGCGGCGAGACGGGTGATTGAAGCATGCGAATCATCTCAGGAACCCCCAGACTTGCAGCCGCCCGCTCCAGTTCCAGTTCGTCTCGCCGACCCAAGCGCGCCCCGCAAGAGGTTGACGAATGCTTCACGCTTCGTCTACCCTTCTCCCACGAAAAGATGCCGTGAGAAAACTTGCCCCGCAGAAGTCGAGGAAGCAGTGTCGGCAAATTCCCAGGGCACAGAGCAGCAGCAGCAGCATGAAGTGCCCAGGCCAAGTTGTGCTGTGTACGAGGCTTGGTGGCAAAACGCCCTAGATGATGGCAGGTCGAGGGCTTGCGATAGACTCCGCTAGACTCGTGCGATGTCTCAGAAGAGGCGCCAATAGATGGGTTTGTTTGCATGATGATTCCAGCAGCCAGGAACTTGCTTACTGCACGCTCATATACCTGCGATGAAACGTTGCATGGGCTTTTGGCTGTTGAAGGCGAGACAGAGGGTTCGCAGTTGCTGTGTAGATCGTGGGATCCATCACAAGCATGGTGAAACAACCCCAGAAGAAGCCTGCGCAATGGTTTCCTCCCTCAAAGAAGGGCGCAGCTCGCGTGATCTTGAAGCAGAAGATGCACAAGAAGCCATCGTCCAAAGTCACCCAAAGCTAGGCGTGGATGTCTACACCTTACATCCGGAATGGCACGAAGGCACCACGGGTGGACCGGCTGAAGTGGAAGCGCTCCGTCCAGTATCTTTGCTCTCTGACCGAGACGGATGCCATCGAGGTCTTGAAGAATGACAGCCTGATGCCGACCCATCTGCCCTTTCTGTTCCAAAGGCAAGGTCGGCCCATTCCGTGGTTCACGGAAGTTCACGGTCCACAAGAAGCGCCAGGTGTGGGTCGGTGGAAGGTGGGTTTGGGAGCAGCCTACCTACGTCAAGATGATGAAGGTGATCTTGCCCAACCAAAAGCGTCTGACTGTAAAGGTCGGGACGCAAGTTGTCGACCGCGCATGGAGATTCATTAAGAGCCGACTCACCTTGAATCAGAACACTAAGGTCGGGTCGACTGTGCTTATTTCCGAAGTACGATCGGCCCAGTTCGAGTACTGGCACAGGGGCCGAGACATGTGGCAGCGCACAGGAGAGCTTCTGAGCTGGCGCATGTCCCAGATCATGACCAAGTGACGGTAGGTGATCGAGTTTCTTGAAATTCACATCAGCGGAATCGCTGGCACATGGCCCAGATTTTGACCAAGTGATGGGACCTGATCGAGTATCTTGGAAAAGCGCATCAGCGGAAGTGCTGTTTATGGCCAGGAAGCGAGATAGCAACGGACAGCGGGCGAGGCAGGTCGTGAGAGCAAAGCACGTTCAGCCAACATGCTGCTTCTGCGCTTCCAATACATCAACAACCATCATGAATCCATGGTCGTCTCGGCAAAGGAACAAAACATTTATGTTGCAAGTGCAACACTTAAATGGTTTGTCTTTTGTCGAGAATAGCATGGAACATCTCAATGCCAAGCGAACACATGCATGAACTCACACACGCACACCCCATCAATTCACGTCATCACAGTATATGACGACCATGGCCATCATCGTCATCATCATCACCATCGTCGTTGACATGATGATCGTCGTCATCATATTTTAATCTTCGTTCTCATGTCTTCAACACATAACGAAAAACCCAGGCCCACTATTTATATGTGGTTTTTAATATTTGCATATATATATATATAGAGGTATAGATAAACAAAAAAGACGTAAGCAGTGTTAGGTTTAACGGGTTGTTGTTTTGGGTTATTGCTGGTAGAATGTCGAGCCGTAGAAGCACGACAAAGAGTAAAAACATAGATCTTTCAGGGGGGGTAGCATAAATAAATAAATGAATATATATATATACACACCTATATGCGTATATGCATCTATATATGTATATATATATATACAAGTACATACATGCATACATACATACGTACATACATACATACATACATACATACATACATACACACATACACACATACACGCACAAACACACACACACACACACTCAATTACATTCAGCGGCCCTCCCCTCCCCTCCCCATGCAGACACGCAAACACAACCAACCACACGCAAGCACGTGAACAAACAGACAGACAGACAGACAGAGAAA